TTAATAAACTAATTAACAGATTTAGTCTCAATTCATGTGACTAAATAAGAATATTTTGTTTATTTCATTTTCAGCTCCCAGAAATGTGAAACTAAATGAGACACCTGAGCCACTATGATTAATGAATGAGAAGAGCGTCTAACCAACCCAGTATGGCAGGCCGTTTTGACATTTATTAGAAGTGCTGTCCTCTCTATCGTTCCACTTGTTGATCTCCAAAATAAGATTCTTCCTGGTCAAAACTACATTCCTACTAACCAGAAATGTACGTATAGATATCCTAAATTACATTTTTGCGAGAAAAATTTAAATTTCAGACTGCCAAAAATATAACTGTAATAGTAAGAATAAACTTTCAAATACCTAGAAATCTTTATGAAGTTTAAGTGGCTCTTTTGACAATTATTAGCTTGACTGAATATATCTTCCAGATGTCTCAAATACATTTCTTCCTAGTCGAAATAGAGATTTCAGATATCTAAAATGTAATTCTTACTGGTACAAATGACTTCACATTTCCCATTCATGTTCATCTAAAATAAAATTCTTCCCATCTAAAACTGAACTCTGACGAGGATGAATTCTAATTTCAGATCTCTATAATAGAGTTACTGCTAGTCATAATTACTATTGCAGATATCAAAAATGAATATAACTACAGATATCTAGGCATTCTACCTAGTCCCATTTCTATTATAGATAGCACTAAAGCATTCTACCTAGTCCCATTTCTATTATAGATAGCACTAAAGCATTCTACCTAGTCCCATTTCTATTATAGATAGCACTAAAGCATTCTACCTAGTCCCATTTCTATTATAGATAGCACTAAAGCATTCTACCTAGTCCCATTTCTATTATAGATAGCACTAAAGCATTCTACCTAGTCCCATTTCTATTATAGATAGCACTAAAGCATTCTACCTAGTCCCATTTCTATTATAGATAGCACTAAAGCATTCTACCTAGTCCCATTTCTATTATAGATAGCACTACAGCATTCTACCTAGTCCCATTTCTATTATAGATAGCACTACAGCATTCTACCTAGTCCCATTTCTATTATAGATAGCACTAAAGCATTCTACCTAGTCCCATTTCTATTATAGATAGCACTACAGCATTCTACCTAGTCCCATTTCTATTATAGATAGCACTAAAGCATTCTACCTAGTCCCATTTCTATTATAGATAGCACTAAAGCATTCTACCTAGTCCCATTTCTATTATAGATAGCACTAAAGCATTCTACCTAGTCCCATTTCTATTATAGATAGCACTAAAGCATTCTACCTAGTCCCATTTCTATTATAGATAGCACTAAAGCATTCTACCTAGTCCCATTTCTATTATAGATAGCACTAAAGCATTCTACCTAGTCCCATTTCTATTATAGATACCACTAAAGCATTCTACCTAGTCCCATTTCTATTATAGATAGCACTAAAGCATTCTACCTAGTCCTATTTCTATTATAGATAGCCCTAAAGCATTCTACCTAGTCCCATTTCTATTATAGATAGCACTAAAGCATTCTACCTAGTCCCATTTCTATTATAGATAGCACTAAAGCATTCTACCTAGTCCTATTTCTATTATAGATAGCACTAAAGCATTCTACCTAGTCACATTTCTATTATAGATAGCACTAAAGCATTCTACCTAGTCCCATTTCTATTATAGATAGCACTAAAGCATTCTACCTAGTCCCATTTCTATTATAGATAGCACTAAAGCATTCTACCTAGTCCCATTTCTATTATAGATAGCACTAAAGCATTCTACCTAGTCCCATTTCTATTATAGATAGCACTAAAGCATTCTACCTAGTCCCATTTCTATTATAGATAGCACTAAAGCATTCTACCTAGTCCCATTTCTATTATAGATAGCACTAAAGCATTCTACCTAGTCCTATTTCTATTATAGATAGCACTACAGCATTCTACCTAGTCACATTTCTAGTATAGATAGCACTACAGCATTCTACCTAGTCACATTTCTATTATAGATAGCACTAAAGAATTCTACCTAGTCCCATTTCTATTATAGATAGCACTAAAGCATTCTACCTAGTCCTATTTCTATTATAGATAGCACTACAGCATTCTACCTAGTCACATTTCTAGTATAGATAGCACTACAGCATTCTACCTAGTCCAATTTCTATTATAGATAGCACTAAAGCATTCTACCTAGTCCCATTTCTATTATAGATAGCACTAAAGCATTCTACCTAGTCCCATTTCTATTATAGATAGATAGCACTAAAGCATTCTACCTGGTCACATTTCTATTATAGATAGCACTAAAGCATTCTACCTAGTCCCATTTCTGTTATAGATAGCACTAAAGCATTCTACCTAGTCCCATTTCTATTATAGATAGCACTACAGCATTCTACCCAGCCACATTTCTATTATAGATAGCACTAAAGCATTCTACCTAGTCCCATTTCTGATATAGATAGCACTAAAGCATTCTACCTAGTCCCATTTCTATTATAGATAGATAGCACTAAAGCATTCTACCTGGTCACATTTCTATTATAGATAGCACTAAAGCATTCTACCTAGTCCCATTTCTGTTATAGATAGCACTAAAGCATTCTACCTAGTCCCATTTCTATTATAGATAGCACTACAGCATTCTACCCAGCCACATTTCTATTATAGATAGCACTAAAGCATTCTACCTAGTCCCATTTCTATTATAGATAGCACTACAGCATTCTACCTAGTCCCATTTCTATTATAGATAGCACTAAAGCATTCTACCTAGTCCCATTTCTATTATAGATAGCACTAAAGCATTCTACCTAGTCCCATTTCTATTATAGATAGCACTAAAGCATTCTACCTAGTCCTATTTCTATTATAGATAGCACTAAAGCATTCTACCTAGTCACATTTCTAGTATAGATAGCACTAAAGAATTCTACCTAGTCCCATTTCTATTATAGATAGCACTAAAGCATTCTACCTAGTCACATTTCTAGTATAGATAGCACTAAAGAATTCTACCTAGTCCCATTTCTATTATAGATAGCACTAAAGCATTCTACCTAGTCACATTTCTAGTATAGATAGCACTAAAGAATTCTACCTAGTCCCATTTCTATTATAGATAGCACTAAAGCATTCTACCTAGTCACATTTCTAGTATAGATAGCACTAAAGAATTCTACCTAGTCACATTTCTAGTATAGATAGCACTAAAGCATTCTACCTAGTCCCATTTCTATTATAGATAGCACTAAAGCATTCTACCTAGTCCTATTTCTATTATAGATAGCACTAAAGCATTCTACCTAGTCCCATTTCTATTATAGATAGCACTAAAGCATTCTACCTAGTCCTATTTCTATTATAGATAGCACTAAAGCATTCTACCTAGTCACATTTCTAGTATAGATAGCACTAAAGAATTCTACCTAGTCCCATTTCTATTATAGATAGCACTAAAGCATTCTACCTAGTCCCATTTTTGATATAGATAGCACTAAAGCATTCTACCTAGTCCCATTTCTATTATAGATAGCACTACAGCATTCTACCTAGTCCCATTTCTATTATAGATAGCCCTAAAGCATTCTACCTAGTCCCATTTCTATTATAGATAGCACTAAAGCATTCTACCTAGTCCCATTTCTATTATAGATAGCACTAAAGCATTCTACCTAGTCACATTTCTATTATAGATAGCACTAAAGCATTCTACCTAGTCACATTTCTATTATAGATAGCACTAAAGCATTCTACCTAGTCACATTTCTATTATAGATAGCACTAAAGCATTCTACCTAGTCACATTTCTATTATAGATAGCACTAAAGCATTCTACCTAGTCACATTTCTATTATAGATAGCACTAAAGCATTCTACCTAGTCACATTTCTATTATAGATAGCACTAAAGCATTCTACCTAGTCACATTTCTATTATAGATAGCACTAAAGCATTCTACCTAGTCACATTTCTATTATAGATAGCACTAAAGCATTCTACCTAGTCACATTTCTATTGTAGATAGATAGCACTAAAGCATTCTACCTAGTCACATTTCTATTATAGATAGCACTAAAGCATTCTACCTAGTCACATTTCTATTATAGATAGCACTAAAGCATTCTACCTAGTCACATTTCTATTATAGATAGCACTAAAGCATTCTACCTAGTCACATTTCTATTATAGATAGCGCTAAAGCATTCTACCTAGTCACATTTCTATTATAGATAGCACTAAAGCATTCTACCTAGTCACATTTCTATTATAGATAGCACTAAAGCATTCTACCTAGTCACATTTCTATTATAGATAGCACTAAAGCATTCTACCTAGTCACATTTCTATTATAGATAGCACTAAAGCATTCTACCTAGTCACATTTCTATTATAGATAGCACTAAAGCATTCTACCTAGTCACATTTCTATTATAGATAGCGCTAAAGCATTCTACCTAGTCAACATTCTAACTAGTCCCAATTACAATACTTTTAGTCAGAATTATATTCTAGATATCACTAATTACATTTCAACCACTAGAAATTCAATTTTAAGTACTCTGGAATCAAATGTGTACTAGTAAGATCTACATTTCACATATCTATAAATATTTACCAATATTAAGTGGCTGTTTTGATATATTTGTTTGTATTTCAGATATCTTTAATAGTATTCCTCTTATCTGAAATGTAATTCTTACTAGGAAAAATGACGTCACCTTTCCCCATTCATATGTTTTGGGTCGTTACTTTCAGATATCTGGAATGGCATTAGTCTTATTTAAATACACATTCTGATTTTCAGATCTCCTAAACTTATATTTCAGATAAGAAGAAATGCATTTGAGACTGTGGAATATATATCCAGTCAAGCTAATGAATGTCAAACCGGCCTGCCATAGCCGCCCCATGGTTGCATTTCGCCGGTGATGCTCCTGAGCTATCAATCTTAGCCTAGCCTAGCATCAGTTAGCATGCTAGCTATGCCGTTACCTTGGTTCTGACGCTGTGGGGCTGCCATGCCGGCCTCAGCTCTCTGAGCAGCTCCATCGCTCCCTCCATCACGTTGCGTTCATCCACGAACAGCGGGATCTTCCTGATAACCGGAGAACCGGCAGGAACATGGATCTGCGTTTCCATCCTGCGCGTCTTTCTCTCCAACCTTAATCTCCAGATGTCTCCACCAAGCGGACCGCAGAAGAGTAGCTGCGTTAGAAGGCGCTGAGCAGCTGGAGGATTTCCAGAAGGACCGGAGGCTGCTGCTGTGAACCGCTGCTCTAAGCGGGGCTGAAGGCAGAGGGAATGGATTAGAGGAGGACCGGGTGACACCGGGCGCGGAGGCGGCCAGCCAACAGCACCATTTCCTCATCTGAGGCTCCGCCCACCGAGGGATCATCCGATTGTAACCATCGACTGCGACGCACGAGGCTTAGCCACGCCCATTTCCCCCGAATTTGACCGAGTTTACCCGAATAGCGTTAAACTGCACCCTTTATAGACCAAGTTAGCGTTTCAGATCCCTGGCCTTTCAAATGGAGCCCCCCCATCCCTCAGCGAGGTCTAGAAGCACAAGATCTATATCCAGCCATTCAGCAAAGATCCTGCTACATGGCTGCACATCTGATTTTAGCATTTGACCAATTAGATGAGCCCTTGAATATATTACCTAGTGGAAATTAAGTTGGAAAAAAAGTTAAAAAGTGAAGAAAAAAGTAAACAGTTCATTAAAAAGTTCAAAGGTGAAGAAAAAAGGTTAAAAGTCAGAAAAAAAGGGGGAAAAAGCTAATTGAAAAGTTAAAAATTTAATAAGCCTAGTTAACAATTATATTTAGGTTTATAAACTAAAAACTGTCGGTGCCACTATCTGCATTAATGCCTCTAAGTTTATGTTGGACCAAAACAAAATGTGTTTCTTTCGCTCAGAGTGTTTTTCATGAATTTCTATGGAAGCACTTTCGTTATTTTTCTTAATATATTCGGGCAAATTGGCTTTTCTTGTTATTACATTGACATTAATATTAACCACCAAAATATCCAGATAGTTTGAATGTTCCAAAGGTAATAAGGTCTTTCCTGGATTCCAATGACACTATTGGATGGAAATGTTGATTTTCAAAGTATTTCACTGAGTGCCCTATAAAGGGTTAAAATGTTTTCCTTAGCATATGTTCAGAGAAAGTAGCTAATATGTTACATAAAAAAAATACTTTTTTGACTTTTAACAACACTTTATTTACACAATTCAAACAATAGAATCAATTATTGATGTAAAACAGTCAGTTAAAAATCACTATTAAGATAAAAAAAAGTCTTGTTAAATTGTAATTTTCTTTCACGATAACACAGAACATAAAATGTTGTTAAAACCCACAGTTGAATAAAATCCTCCATGTTTGTGTGTCTCTGTGGAAGGTAAACTCCAGCCTTAAAGTCACAGGGAAATCATATTCAAATGTCAAATCATTCTGGCTTAAACATATATATAAACGTTTTCTTTATCAGACCATATTGTTCCAAAATTAACAAAATTTCTATAAAAAAAAAAAATCCTGTGTTAAAATCTGTGTTTTTTTCGTTATCTTCTGCAGGCCAGTTAGTTCTACATCAGCCTGAACACCTAAATTCATCCAATCATATATCAACGGTCATCTGTCAATCAAATGTTTTCAGTCATAGCATCTTGATTCATATGTCGCAGCTAATATACGCAACGGTTGAAATCAGAATCCTTTCCTTTCCCATTGAGTTCTGTGATGACATGATGTGAATTGGAGCTGTAGAAATAAACAGAAAAGAATTGAATGTCAAATATTTATCATAATCCCATTAGAAAAAGTTTTAAACAAGAATTTTGAGTAAAATCTTCAGCTATAAAAGTAACCTAGGTCATGCATTTGAAGTATTTTCTGAGTTCTAGTTATATTTATTTAAAAAGTGAGGAAAGGTGGACTGCTCTTTGGGTCAAACTATGTCTAAAGAGTAGAACTTCAAAGGTCTAACCGCCTCCATAGAGCGTTGCCCTGGTGAAGGAACAGCTAACCATCCAGGTAACTAAACACCTCCTTCACCAACCAGTTAGTTAACAGCATAACGTCTTTACTGGCGTCTACCAGGCGCCAAGCGACGGTTAAAATTAAACTCTTTGATTAAGTTAGAAAAAATTCCACTTAAAGCATCTCATGGATATAATTATTGTTTTTGCTGTAATGGTTCCTTTCAGGGACTCTCTGATCACATCTACGTGACTCTTATGACAACTACAACACAAAGGTTATATTTTCTCTGTTATATTTTCCATTTTAGAGCAAACATAAGGCCAAATTATGACAATTCGTAAAAATAACATTAATAAAGTTTTATTCGGTTAAAATGGGGCATGTAGATTAAAGGAATAGTACACCCAAAACATGATTAGCCTTCATTTTCTACTCACCCCCATGCTGAACAACACTCTGGAGTATTTTTTTTGATATTTCAAATGCATCTGGAGATCTGGGAGGCTTCTTGCTGTCTGCTGACATTCAAATAATGGAGGTCTATGGCGCCCGAGGCAGAAAGGTCCATAAAAGTCCGCAAAAAACGTGTCAATATTCCTCCATACTGCTCGTCCAATGTATTCCAAGTGTCCTGAGTGGGTAGCATCCAGAATTTACTCGAAACGAAGTCATTTAGAATGTTTATAGAGCATAAACAGTAGTGTATAGGATTTCCTGAAAGCGCGTTCACGACGCTACGGAAACCGCGGCAGACCAAACCGGATGAAAGTGCGCATTCAGCTCGGCAAAGAACTCATGCTCTTCCTCAACACTGAAGTCCTCAGACATTTTTCTTTCGTTGTTTCTTTCTTTGCACAGGTAAACAGCACATTTCTTCTTCTACGCTTGCATTATCGGCAGAGCAGACGCTGAATGCGCACTTTCATCTGGTTTGGTCTGCCGGCTTCCGTAGCGTCCTGAACGCGCTGTGTGAGTGGTTGAAATAGCACGTCAATAAAGATGACAGACAAGTGGCTTATCCAATCATGTGCAAGGAGTTTTGATAAGGCCCAGCCTTCAGTAAAGGCAATTCCTATGGCGGTGTCCCAGATGTATGTGAGTGGAGCTAGGCGGAGCGAGACATGCATCTGGCTGTTGTCAGGTTAGGCTGAACATGGACCAACAGGGGCCAACAGGGACCAACAGGGGACAACAGGGGCTGAACATGGACCAACAGGGGCCAACAGGGACCAACAGGGGACAACAGGGGCTGAACATGGACCAACAGGGGCCAACAGGGGACAAAAGGGGCTGAACATGGACCAACAGGTGACAACAGGGGCTTAACATGGACCAACAGGGGACAACAGGAGACAACAGGGGCCCAACATGGACCAACAGGGGCCAAAAGGGGCCCAACATGGACCAACAGGGGCCCAACATGGATCAACAGGGGCCAAAAGGGGCCCAACATGGACCAACAGGGGCCCAACAAGGGTCAATTATACTTTAAGCTTCACTATATGGCCCATCTTCCGATTTAATGCATAGTTAAAAAAAAAATTCAGAAGTTGAGAGGACCACGGCAACCAGTGGACCTCCAAGGCTAACGTTAACGTTATCTGACTGTGTTCATTATTATTCCTTCACTAAATGAAAAAAGTAATTCAATTTAATATTATCTAGAGACTATTAATAACTGGCGCGCGCTTTCAGGAAATCCTATACACTACTGTTTATGCTCTAAAAACATTCTAAATGACTTTGTTTCGAGTAAATTCTGGATGCTACCCACTCAGGACACTTGGAATACATTGGACGAGCAGTATGGAGGAATATTGACACGTTTTTTGTGGACTTTTATGGACCTTTCTGTCTCGGGCACCATAGACCTCCATTATTTGAATGTCAGCAGACAGCAAGAAGCCTCCCAGATCTCCAGATGCATTTGAGATATCAAAAAAGTACTCCAGAGTGTTGTTCAGCATGGGGGTGAGTAGAAAATGAAGGCTAATCATGTTTTGGGTGTACTATTCCTTTAAGCTGCATTTTCTGTGTTTATCTTGGACTGAAAAAAATGACCTGAAAATATATCAAATCTTCTGAAAATAACTGTATTTGTTCTTAATCTGAACAGGAAATAGGAGGGTCTCTCAGTGGAATGAGAGTTTTTAATGTGAAAATGTGAATATGAAAAATGGTGAACTTTAAAGTGCCTTGAGGTGACATGTGTTGTGAACTATAGAAATAAACTGAATAGAATTCAAATTATTACGTAATATGCACTTGAAGTAAGATAATAGAGATGTGTTTTTTTCATATATTGTAAATGTAAATCTTACTTCATCTGCACATTGTCATATATACCCAATGAAATGAGAGATATTCTGGATTCCTGGGGTTTTCATTAGTGCATTTGAAATTGCTGTTTATTTAATTGAAACCAATGTAGCAATGCTACTCATGGACTGTGGAAGATCGTTAAACATCAGCATCAGACGGTCTGTTCTGTGCACACCCCTATGAATGATAATAACTTTAAAGCAGATGTTATTAAACAACAGTTACTCCGTACCTGAGTCATGCTCCCCCCCCCCACAGCATGGCTAGATGCTAATAAATGCTATGATACAAAAAAAACAAACTGTTAAAGGCTTCATAAATATTAAGAGTTGCTTCAGAACCAAAGCAACAGGTAGAGAGCCACAAATCTGAGATGCTCTTTTTTCCTCTTTTATTTTTTCTCATTTTTGTTTCTTCCATCCACAGACTTATTCTAAATGTTCTCTTATTTCTCTGGCAATCATTTATGCAGTGGTTCCCAAAGATTTTCTTCTGGGCCCCCCTTTGGAAAACCCCCCCCCCCCCCCCCCCCCCACGACCCCCCCCCCCCCCCCCCCCCCAAAAAAAAGAATCAACTGGGCACACACATCGTTCAACCAGATATAATAAATCTATACACATATTTTGTTTTCAAATTCCACTGAAGTTTATTTCACACTTCAGGTTGCAACAAAACAAACTACACCATCTTTACAGTGGAACACTTTTGTGTAACTGTATTTTTTTCATAGTTCTATAATGTAGATTAGAAGAAGATTCTTTGCTGTCTGTGTTATTTTAAACATATTTCTTTTTTTTATTTGTAGCAATATTTAACTTTGCTATAATCTATACATTAAAAAAGCCTCTGTGCAAAATGGAGTGAAAACATTGAACAGCTCCCTGAGAGTTTTTTCTTAGTACTTTAATCCTCCCATCTTTTCAGTGGCTGTAGTGAGCCTGCTTTTTGCTGTAGATCTTCTCAAATCTGGGTTGCAGTGTCACAACTGTCCATTATGCTCAGTCAAGCAAGCGCTGTTTTTTTTTTTCTTCATTCATCCATACCGCTTCCCGCGC